GCTTCTTGTGCACCGCAAAAATGTATCTTGGGTATACACTTCTCGTTAGTTATAATTTGGATCCAGTATTGCGGTCCAATAAAGATTACACTACCATTTTTACCCTACATTACCATACTGGAACTCAGCAGTTTAAACACTAAAGTAAACTTATAATATTGAAAGCGGTTGAACGCCAACCAAAACGTTTAGTAGCCTCTGTACATAATTAAAGTTGTATTCCAAACCGCTTAGGTGCATAAATTATATTTATTTTTTTAATTTTGCTTTCATGTCCGTGAATACAAGTAAATCCAGCATGATGTAACCTAGAATACGGGAGCAAGTATTGCATAGTGAGTCTTTTGTCCAGGAATTCTGAGCTCAAACTTGGGTCCTAAAGTTAAGAACATCGCGACTGATCGCAGCGCTAAAGTTTGGATCTGGTCGCTCATCGGACGAGCGCCGAGATAAGGACTGATAAGGCAGGGCACTGACGACCGTAAGAAAGTTTTTTAGGGAAAATAAGGGTGTCGAATAATATTTAATTGCATTTATTTTTAATTGCATTTATCTATTAGTTCACTTCAGGCAACCAAGAAATCGTACTTCGAATAAAAATATTGTATTGCGGCAAATAGAAACAATCCAACGACTAAGCTTGGATATCAGAAACAAAAGGCATGTGTGAGTGGACATATGTTTGATTCAGTAATAACTTAATGTCTTCAAATAATTCAGTTAACGTTGATGAACACATTGAAAGACATAAACATGCAAAAAAAGAGCTGCTTTGAGCGGAAATTTGCGAAGAATTTATCAAAGGTATGCTATAATTAAAGTCTTTCGCCTGGCAAAGACTATTTAAACTCATCTTACTTACCATGACACTAAGTTTTCACTACTACACTAATTCAAGCTTCTTTGCTGAAAAAATATAATTATATTATTAAATTCGACCTGCTTTGCATGCTATAGACAAGAGTGGACATCTCTTTATTCCCCCAGTCCAGATGCTGTTGTCGAATACGTGGCTTCCGAACAGAGGCTGATGGCTGATGTTGTTTTGACGACCGCTGGGAAGCTTGGACACAAAGTTCCAACGTGTGTAGTTTTTCCGAGAGTTTCTTCCTTATTTGAACTTGTCGGCGGCTGCCGCAAAGTCTAAAGTAGGCAATAGAAACAAAATTGTTGAAGATTTGCCTTTGCTCCTACAACTCGAACACAAAGTGCGAGAGAGATTGAGAGTAGCTTGATGAGGCTGTGGACTGAGCCATTGAACATATTTGAAGGGTATACTGACTGAGTGCGCGCATGGAACTCCAATACTTTGATATTCCGACTGAAGTTGCTTGTAGTGCGATGCAAAATAGTCAACTTGACCCAAAAACTGCATATCCATGAAATGTATTTAGCTTACCACCTTGCACAACAACTGAACAAGAAACAGCCCTGAAGTCGCATTGGGGCTCGATATCATTTGTAATCATACGCAGATGCTACAAGATATGATGGGCGACTGATATATTATGGATTTATTACGCATATAACCTTTATTGATTAATTTGTCTCTAAATATCTGGCATTTCATGTTCAAAGATTTATAGAAGTGTATACGTATGTTGAAACAGCAGTCAGGTTTTAATTCATCGCACCAAACCTTCGGGCCATTAAAGAGCAGTCCAGTTTTTTATCACCTCTGACTGGCTTACGGTAATCCAAACTCTTGAATAGTGATTGACTTACAATGTGGCTGCTAAGCTCAAACTTGAGTTGTAAAGTTTGAGCGTTGCCACTGATGACAGCGCTAAAGTTTAGACTTGAGTCGCTCAGCGGGCGAGTGCAGAGATAACGTACAGATAAGACCGGACACTCGAGCCCAGGAACGCCTCTAAGGGATAACGATGTTATTTGGCAGATTAAAATTTATTTGAAAATTCACTTTGATGGAAAAGAAAGTTTGCCTCATTTTACCAAATACATTATTTTTAATATGCCAGACATGTATTTTTATCCACTGAGTTCCTTGCAAATTATCAATGCAAACCATTAATTCGGTTGCGACTGAAAATGTGTACAATATCAATAAACTTTTCAGTAAGAAACAAAATACATAATATTAAAAAATCGCTCCTTATCAAACATTTACCTCATTTACCTTATTTGGTATCTTATTTACCTTTACCTTATTTACCTTATAAAATCGCTTATTTATTTACCATTAATTTGTTCATTTATAATTATTAAAAATTGTTAACATTTATATTTACCATTTGATCGAGACTTAAACGACCCATGCTCTATGTTGCTCTGACGGGAAACGGCAATCATCCAGCAATCTGTGGCAATTTCTTCACGTGTATTGGCCACTTGAAATATAACCTATTAATTTCTTCTGATTAAAAATCATAGAAATTAATACCAAAACATTTGTTTTCAATTGTGATTGAGCCCATAGTGAAATGTTTGTGAGCCTATTTGACCCATCTGACTTATTCACAAAATAAGTCTCAAATATCTGTTCACTCCGGACTATTAGGAATTGACGATTTTTATGATCAGAGTTTCTTCCATACTGTAGCAGTTATTTTGATTTAATTAAAGAAGCAATCACAAGTGTAATAGACATTTATTAGAATTGCTGGGAAAGAGAAAAAACGATACAGGATGAGAGAGGCAGAGATGAGTATATAACATTCATTATATTCACTTATATGAATAAATTGACTTTTATACCTAAATCGAGTTGAATAAGTTGTTGAATTGATTGAGTCACTCAGAATTTATCACGAGTTTGTATTGCAAGATTCACTCTGAATCGGATAAAAGAAATCTTATTGCAAAATAACACGATAGAGTTACAAGCTTGGAACATCGTTACATATCCCTAATTTTATTATTATTCCTAAGTTTATTTTAACGTTCGTGCATCAGCAAACGTTGTGCATCATAATTTCGATTGTGCAAAACGCTAGGTGCATAAGCAAGTCTATTTGCAAATGTGTCAGCGCGATATGTAAAGCAGTCTTGCTCTTGCATAGTATTGACCCTTTCAACAAGGTAGAGTCAAGCAGGTGCTGCTTAACACTAAACAAAGCAAGGCTTGTGCAACACAAGAGCATCTAATGTTAGGCAATTATTCAATGCAGTTGCAGTCTCTGAAGAGACATGTTAGGAAGGCTGGTGCAACACAAGAGCATCNCGCTCGGTGAGTCAATAGTTGGGCTGTCAGCAAGGCTAACGAAGTGCAGTTAAAAACGATTAATAAACTCGAGTGCTATAATTGAATATAATATTAGTATATATATTTAACATATAATACTTTACGGTATAATATGATATAATAATGATATTATTTAATAATCGTGCTGTAATTGTTTCAATACCCGCTGCTGCAGTCAGCTCAGAACTACAGGAGCTCTAATTTAAGTTTGTTTCCCATCATGATTATCCCAGCTCTTCTTACTATTACTGTAAGGGCCATTAAATTGGTTTAAGCATTCTTACTAGAAATTGCGTTCTCATGAAGGTAACCGCCAATCATTTTTAGCGCATTTTCTCATTTATGGAAAAAATAGCGCTATTGTGCTCGCCATGTCCGTCCGTCCGTCCGTCTGTCCGTCCGTCTGTCTGTCTGTCTGTCCGTCAGTGACTTCACGTTTTCGTCGACGAGGAAAGGTGCTCTCTGTCACTCACTGCGGTGAGTACAGAATTAAATTTTTCATTTCGCGCATATTTCACTGCTATCGTTAAGTGATCGTTCAGCGCTATTCATTGGAGTGACATTTTCAGAAGAAAGTGAGAATGTGAGTAAGCCTGAAATAAACGCGGTGAAGGAGTTCCGTTCGCCATACAATGTTTCCTTTCCCATAAAAACTTCATCGCTGGTTTTATAATTTCCCAGCGAGTATTTGGGTTAATTAAAGAAAAGTTTGGATATTTGACCAAACATCCACCCATTTGGATGTAGGATTGGAAAAACGCCATTTCACCACCGAAAGTTTTCAAGCATGATTTTAAACCTAACACTACTACAGATAAAGCAAACACGACTAAGTTGTCAACCGTTGGGAACAAAGTAATTCTCTCGTACGAAGGGTAATGATGTGGTAACTTACTCAGTAAACGATTAAACATGCATGAATTCATTTTCAAACCCGTCATTTTCAGTAATGAATAAAAATCAGTTATTTATTTCAGTTTATTATTTTATTTATTTAATCAGTTATTTACATGGAAATCTGGCTTCGAGTTGGATTAAGAAGCAACTGATTTCGTAACTCGGCTATATATAAATCATTTTTCGAGGACCAGTCCGTCCAAAGAGCTGATAGTTGATTGATATCAAGTTTTATGTTTTTCCATACATTTGAATTCGTCATCCTATTGTTACATTCGTCATTTGAATTCGTAATCCTAGAAAACAATCAAGGATTTGTCGAACAAAGAATCGGAATTTCGGTAGCTTGTTCGTCAAGCATGAGTACCACTTGTCCGTTTGTCCTTAGGTGTGTGGCAGGACCTGGAGAAGCAAAAAATCCTGTCGATATGGACGCTGGTGAGAAGACCGAGCCAAAGACTTTGGTTCCGTCGGGCCACACAAGATCGCGGTTGCATTCGACATCACGAGCGGACATGAATGCATATTTTCCAAAAATTCCAGAGAGCCCATCATCTGCAAAATTGAATACTTTCATGAACGCAAGCAAAATTATTTGGGACAATGATAGCAAGGGGAAACATAGATGAGCAAACATCACTCATAAATAACACCAAAATTTTTGTGAACGTTTCTTAATGTTGAAGTGCATCACTAATTTTTTAGATTTTCAACGAAAGTCAGCACAAAAATTTCCACTCTCCTAAAAATTCTACCTACTTTGAATTATCTGTTTCGCAGTTTCCAGCTCCGATGTCGTGCGGATGATGAGCGGGATTCCGTTCTCCTCGGCGCAGATCTTCACCTGATTGGCGCGAGTTCCGTTCTTCGATTTAGTGCTCGACATGAAGATTTTGGTTGTGGCGGGAACGTACGCTGCTCAAATTTTTGCAGAATTCAAGTGGCAAGTATTTTATTAAATGACGATGTTCAGTACCCATTCATTAATGTTTGTTGATGTCGTCTGGCCAGCTGACAGAAGAAAATTTGACTTCTAATGCCGCGCAGCTCAGGCGTTAGACAGCTACCGTTTTCCACAATGCAATCTCGCAAATGCGGTTTTCCCCAAAAATTGCCCATTTCATAGTACCGTGCCAATGTAACCGTAATCGGATGATTTATTTTTGCAGTGATTTTTACGAACGTAGCAATATTCATGAATACAAAATTTATTCTGTTCATTAGTCGCATTCATAGGAATCTAGGGCTTTTACATAAAATATTACGGCTCCGATATCGATGAAAATATTTCGATTTTCTTATACTCAAATTTATTTGCATACTGAATATTCACTTCAAGTTTGATGCGGTCCTTCAATTACGGTGCATTTTGTATACATGATATCTAAATTAATTTTCGCTCCAAGAACTTTCTAATAATCATTCATAGAAGTTCGGCTTGTTGATCAATTTAAGAGAATATTCATGCGTTCAACTATAATTAAGTAAAAATACGTTAATTTCACTAACAGAACTTGGTGTAGGTGACCGCCTCGAGCAGGTGCCGCGTCGTCAAGGAGCTCCCAGTTGCGTTGCTGAGGAAGCAGACGTCGCTCACGGCATCGTAAGTCACGGCCGTGCAGGTGTCGTTCGTACGGCACTGCGCTTCACAGGCACCTGGAACACGACGGTGAGATGGGTAATATTATAATAATTGTAAAACGATTATTTAAATAATTTTGAAAGTGTTGTGGCAAGGTGTATGAAGTTAAGAACTAATCCTCCTCGGTCAGCGATATTGTAAGATGTTTATTCAGTTGGTTGTTGAGTAGTATAGGTTATCGCCCTAGCCAGTTCGAGTTTGAGTAAGCATGCGTTGATTAAGAGTATAAATTTTATTGAAATTTAGGCATACAAAGCATTTGGTGTTGGATTCATGTCACGCGGTTTGTCCTTGAGTTTACATGCTCTTTTTACAGTCTTATTTTGCCTCGGACTGTCATCGATAATTCTACATTCCTGAGTGGCACAAAATCCGTAATATCAAAAAGCAAAATTTTAATATTAAACTGATATAAGCAAATAACCATGGCCATAGTAATCAGTAAAGCCAGTGGTTTCATTTAGCAATTCTTAGTTGACGCTTTAGTACCCAATGTTAACACAATTTCAGATACGAGTAATTTAGACATTTTCAAACCCGAGAATTTTTTGATAGAACTTGAATGAGTTCAAATAAAGACGGAATAATTAATTGATTTTTCTCTTTTATTTTTTGCCCACTATTGGATCAATGCTGCGTGTAATGATTTTTGCATTGCGCGTTTTGTAAATGTAATATTTAATTTATTGAATTTCTTTTTGAATATCTGTACGTCCAGTACAGCCAAACACTAGCTGGCAGTAGTTCTCTTTCTTGGTTATAAACGTTGATTTACAACTTCACGACGAATGCACGCTATAAAATATCAAACGAACAACAAGGCGAAATTTGTAATAAGAACAATGATTTCGTACAAGAAGCCAAATATTAATGTTAAAATGATTACACCAATAATTTTATGGAACTTCCTTAATGAAGTAAATCCCATCTCATATAATAAAAGTATAAAACGTCGTGCGATGGATTCGAAATTAGGAGCACACATTGTGCATTAAATGGGGATTTGGATGAGACTAGATAATGAGCCTCACCTCTGAATCACGGTACTGAATTAAATGTAATTCTTTGGAAAATATGTATTCATGAACACATTTGCAGTCAGAAGTAATTATCCAGCAAAATAAGATTGTGATATGATGTTGACTCTATATGATGTGCATGAAAAATAATAGATGTGTTTGACATGTAATTTCACCAATGTTTTAAAGCAGGCATTTCAAAAAACTATTAGCATGTATTCACTTGCATATATATATATATATATATATATATAGGTTTGGTTGAAGACCAGAGCGTACTTTTTATTTACGATTTTCTTATTGTTCTTTTCGATATGCCATCTGCAAGCTGGAGGACCAAAGAACCATATGCGGGAGGCCATTTTATGGTGTTGGCTGAAATCACGATTAGGTACGAATTCTCTGCACATAATATCTGGATTATGGACGAAACTGGAACGAAGTTTTTTTCTGATCAACTGAATATATTTTTTCTAGTCAAGGATACATTTTTTCATGTTAAGGACGAATTTTTTATCGCAAGGATATATTTTTCAAGTCAAAGATATATATTTTTATGTCAATGAAATATTTTTCTTCACGTCAGTGATAGATTTTTTAAGCCAAGAGTATATTTTTTCAAGTTAAGTATATGGTTTATGGATGAAACTGGGACGATATTTTTTCTAGTCAAGGATTAATTTTTTATCGCAAGGATATATTTTTCAAGTCAAGGATATATATTTCTATATCAAGGAAATACTTTTCACAAATTTGTACGCAATGTAACAAATGTACCTCAGCTGTTTTATGGATAAATTTCCTGATTTTAAGTAGTCAGAAAATACTTATTTGGAATAAACACTGCAGTTTAATACATTTTTAAAATTGTTTTATGCAAAAACTACTTATTATTGGATATCCTATGAAGCGAATGATCTTCCAGAAGGTTAGTAACTTCACTGAAACTTCAACAGGTTTGTAGGACCGTGGTTGAGCGCAATAACTTTACTCATGTTATTATTATCATATTATTGCATTACTGTCTGTCTTGAAGTTTCAAGAAAGTTGATATATACATTTACCTCATTATTTCAATTGTGCTAGTAGTGTGACATTCACATTTCGCGGGATGTAAAGAAAACGTCACATAATGTGCTCGATTTGTTCTGCAAACAAAACATGCTTTACTTATCAAAGGTATGGAAATGCTTAATTCATTCGAAGCAATATTGTACTAACACAATGTTGCAGCAACCGATACATTCAACCTCGTTGAAGCCGTCCTTGAACGCGTCCATTTGGTCCTTGACGCGCTCCACGAACCGCCATTTGATGTTGTCTATATATATATATATATATATATATATATATATATATATAATAGTGTCATGATAGTTTTAAATGAAGGTTATAATCTTGATTTGTGAACGGGAAAAATATAATTTTGGCTCAAGCTATCATTGTCGAAATGACTAAATGTAGAACGGCTTCTGAAATATGAAGCCCTTGAATAAGATAGATATAATATTTTACATATCGCCGTACACTGTGCGTATGTGTTTCTTGAACACCGAATATTGTTTGATCATCTATTAATTTGTTATTACTATCCTGGTGTATGTAAAATAACGTACTGACCATAACTTTTTAAATTAACTACAACTTACATTGTGAGCGAACGTGCACAGTGTTGTAGACGGGAGTCACGATGACGTAGTTCTGGAGGGTAGACGCCCACCCGCTACGCACTGTTTGCAGAACCGCACTCAACGCGAGCAATTGAATCAGGACGACTGAGATCCTGGCCATCTCATTATACAGAATATAGTATTTCTGTCGGCTCTAAATAGTTCAGTAAATGCATGAGTATTTAACAGCCGTCCACCTTCTTGGGAGCCGGCGGAATTTATTATTATGATATAACTAACGTGATTTAAAACCAATATAAATAGAGTAATTTATTCAAAATGGGTGTTCAATCCATAGTTAAAAAAACTTGTTTTTACAACCCTATACCATTCTGAACTTAGGAATGAAGAGATAATAATTACATGAAGTATCTAAAAATGCTTGGTCATAAAATGAAGACGGTTAAATTGGGCATTACAACATATTGTTCAAATACCTTAAAACCTCAGTTCTTCAGCAACAGATTGAAATTTTTTGTGATATTATCTTATTGCGTTATAGCATAATAAACTAGTTAGCGCATTTTCTCATTTATGGAAAAAATGCACTATTGTGCTCGCCATGTCCGTCCGTCCGTCTGTCTGTCTGTCCGTCCGCGACTTCACGTTTTCGTCGACGAGAAAATGCGCTCTCTGTCACGCACTGCAGTGAGTACTGACTTAATTTTTTTTAATTGTGTCCACACTCACTAATCTAATCATGCAGTATGACTCCTAGTGGTTTCGGGGTAATCCTCCAGATCCTCATTCAGGTTAATGCTGTGTGTGCTTAACTTCTCATAGTTGCTATTATATCTAGTCTGTTTTTATGCCTGTTTCATTCGTTGTTTTTAGCGCATTGTCTCATTTGTGGAAAAAAAGGCGCTATTGTGCTCGTCATGTCCGTCCGTTCGTGACTTCAGGGACGGACGAGAAAATGAACATAGTTCAGCTTACAACGAGAATAATTTACCGAAAGTGCGGCACTGAATTAAATCTCTGCATAAAATTAAATGATGCTTCAACTCAGATGCAACCACTTAAGCTATCCGCCGATGCTTCATTCAACTCGATTGATATGAAACGGTCAAATTTGCCCTAATACACTCTGGTCGTCGCATTGTCCAAACTGCAGCTAAATATACAATTCCTCAAGGTGAGATACTCTTCAATTGAGTTCTGTTCTTAACTTATTCGTAAATATTTTTGGGTCTAATATGAAACGAACTTGAATGGGGAAAAAACAGAAGGAAGTAATCAATCAGTAAATAAACGAGTAGAGATAATAAAAAAAATCGACCGAAGACACGTTTTTTTCATAACGTAAGCTAGCAACGCAGACAGGAATATGAATAAAGTACAAAATTAACCTTAGGCCATAGCACTTTTTAAACGGCAAGTCAGGTCAAGAAACGCGCGCGAGATCCTGACATATGCTGAGAAGCTGGTGGTGCACTTTGAGCCAGCCGGCCAATAATCATAAGCATGGACAAGTTCCCATGAGTAACGCTGACGACCAGAAGGAAAAAAATGCCCTCCCATCAGGGAAGAGAGAAACGCATCGTTATAAAATAGCGTGCTACTTTGAATGAACGACGTATCTAATACTACAGTACATGACTGGGCAAAATCCATGTCAAGACAATGTTCAATGAATAGCATCACAGTTAACACATCATCGTCAAATAACAAAATTTTTTCGACTCTGAATAATAATTCCCTCAAGATCAATAAACTGAACTACAAGAATAAATAATGACTTTTGTGCTCTTTATATATGAAACAATGAAACATTTCTCTCACCACAGCTACCAAAAGGTAATGTCTCCAAAAATTGATGAATAATAAATGGTATATCGGCGACCTTCGCACAAAGAGTGGATGATAGGCCTCCCAGACAGGTACGCTATTGTATTGTAAAAAGTTTCCAGAAGCGGTCATCGGAAACCTGAATGTTGTCATCAAGAAGCAATCCAGAACCCAGAGCCTTGTACCAAAAACTGTTGACTGATACAAAAACTGATTCAAGTTATGTCATCAAATTAATATTGGATCGTCTTCGTTCACAGATACCATTTAGCAAGGCTTGAATAACGATCTCTTGCATCTGGTGTGATTCATCATCTCCCTCTCCCTAATAATACACATTTTGTTCAAGATATCGCATCCGAATTGTGCAGCGCTCATTGTTAAGCCTAACCAGGGTAATCTAAATCGACTTCTTTACTGTATTTACAAAAAAAAACGTGGCGGCTGGACGGGTTTAAATTTATCAACAACTGTCAATTTGATATAGTAAATTCACACTTAACCTACCAAAAAATGTTTAAATGATTTTTTAAATGCGTTTAAAGAAAACATATGGTGATTTTGATATTATAAAGCCTTACTCTCCACTATCGCATTGTTTAATATGCTGGCTGGCCATTTTCTACAAGAACGCGGCCTAATAATAAAGTTAGTTATTCATATGCAAGCACACGCGGGCCTCACCGACGAAGTTCTCTTCTCAACTGAGGTTCAAATTACCGAGAGACATGAATTTCGTTAGATCGATACTTGACGAGCGTTCTCGCGTCATTTAAATTGTTCCGTGTAAATATTGAATACTTATACCGTTGAGTGCGGAACGACTCACCAGCGCTGGCAGATGGCCCAAAAACCGCCAATTCCACGAGAAAAAAAGCCTATAATTCGAAATTTACTAGTAAGTTTGTAGGTTCCGGTGCAAAAATTAAATTTTGTGTTTTTCCGTACATTTTCAAATTTAATGAGGTAGTACTACCATCATAAATTTTTGTCGACAAGCGCAATTGAAAAAAAAAAACTGAATTGCGGAATTTGTCCAGAAAAAAGACCCTGCAACCCACCGCTGGGTTTAACATGTTTATTTAGTTTTGATAATTGCGCTACGGCACCAGTTATGATGCATGCATGTTAGGACTATTAAGAAGAACTGTTTTTAATTAATGGGAGGTTCCTTGCCAACGAGTATCAACATTTTATAGCGATAAAAAACTTTGACATTAATTTATATTGATGTTTTTTTGTTCGTCGTTGACTACCCCATAAATATGCACTGGATTATGGCTTACAAAAACTTATTCTTCTGCTTGAAAATTAAATCCTGCGATGAGACAAAAGTTAACTGAGCTGAGAGAATGAATATCCGGATTCAGGAATATTCTAGGCATAATTTTTGACGTCGAACTGACAGTTAGTTGCCAAAACTTTCAACTAACCAACAATTAGCATCTCAAGTTTATATATACGTAATCCTTCGGGCACAAGTTGGATTTTGATCGTGTTATAAACCGAGGATTATTGCCGATGATTACTAATCATCACAACCATTATTCAGATTATCATTTTCTAATCATTTCGTCGATCGCTGGCTTTTTTCTAAACGCTATCTAAAGTGACGTATAAACATCACAGGATGAGAAATTTCTTGATGCGTTTTTGTTTTATATACGTTTTACTTCAGAGGTGCATTAGAGCGCTATAAACCATTGCAGTAGATTTTTGCAGAGCAATTATAGTTAACTTGAAATTAAATATTCGCTTCTTGTCTACATCTGTGTAAAATAAAATAAATTTCACATTAAACGAGAAAAGGTTCAGAATTATTTTCCCTTGAATGTCCCATAATTTAGAATGAGACAGACGGGTGGATGGTGAATATGCACGATGTATACAAATGATGAACTCTAATTTTTATATCAATAAAACCCCCGAGAGGCATTCATCGCTTAAGAGTGAGTTCGAACAAGGGTGTGATGACGGTTTCGAATGTACTTTTTGAACTAGATTTTTAATTGAGTTCAGTAATAGAGTGACCTCATAGAAAATTTATCTGTGGTGTTTAATTAGCATTAAACTACATGGTTAATTATTACAGAACTATGGATAGAAAAATGCGATTCTCGCTAGGTATTAGCACTTCTTAAGTCAGCTGCTGAATCAAGAGAGTTATACTGAGCCCTTGTATTTTTTATAACCCAGCAACGAATGATTCATCGTAATTTTTTTGGATTTACATCGTAGCTATACTAACTTCAATGCATATAGATGAACAAAATAATTTTTTTTCTAAAATACATCATTTTTACCTGTATTATATGCGTATTCTTGTAAAGTATAAGTGTTTATCCTGCGAGAATTAATTCACGGCCGCGCGAAATAAATGACTCGATAGGCTAAAATTTGTCGAATATCGGTCGATGTCCTATCACTAACTAGCTTCATCCAGCAGATTTTTCTACTAATATTTAAGCCTTAATTATGAATAAACGTTTTCATTGGATATATCATTTTCTCCATTGATTGTTATATCGAATGGTTAAAAAAATATTCCTAACGCTTGACCTGCTTCTACTTGGATGATTTGAACAGAGATCAAATCCTTGATTCGTGCATCTGAACAGACAATTGAATTCAATACTCATTTCCCAATGCGGTTGTCGGTAGCATTGTGGAATTATTAATATAAATAACGAGTCAAGTCAAAGTCTACGTGCTGTGGCTGTTGCTTGTAGTCACCGTTAAATGGCGTATTATTTACCTGCCACTCATTAACGTCTGCCTCCGCCTATTAGTTACGTCACTGCATGCAGCCACTGCTACGACCACTTAATGCCCTCCTTCATTACGTTAACGGCCTCCTGGGCATCGGGAAACTATTCGCTGCAGCGGACAGTGTTGGTGCTTCCTGTTTCGGTGGCTTCAGTGTTCCTTAAAATGAGATATGATCAAGGCTGGTGTGTGTGCTGGAAAAAGTCAAATCTGTGAAATTGAAGCTTTTCTTCCAAGTGTGGGATTTTCCCATATATTGGTGCTTCCCATTGTTGGTGCTTCCTGTTTCGTTGGCTGCAGTATTCCCCACACGTACTGAGAGAAAATTAATGTCGTGCGGTAAAGCGTCAAAGCTGCAAAATTAGAATCTGTTCACCCAATTGTGGAGTTTTTCCAGTATTTTCGGAGTGAACATAGAATTTTGATCGCACTTGTAGCGGTGATTAAGTTAGTGCATTTGTAGACTTATTTCTTGCAGATTTAGATGC